GGGGCGCCTGGGTGGCTCAGTCAGTTAAGCGGCCAACTTCGGCTCAGCTCATGATCTCACGGTCCGTGAGTTCGAGCCCCGCGTTGGGCTCTGTGCTGACAGCTCAGAGCCTGGAGCCCGCTTCAGATTCTGTGTCTCCCTCTCTCTGACCCTCCCCCGTTCATGCTTTGTCTCTCTCTGTCTCAAAAATAAATAAACGTTAAAAAAAAAATTAAAAAAAAAAAATCTTAAAAAAAAACCTTTCCACAGTGTTGCAAATGGCAAGATTTCATTTTTTTCATTGCCAAGCAGTACTGCATTGTATATGTATATACCACATCTTCTTTATCCATTCAATCAAGTGATGGACATTTGGCCTCTGGGTGTTTTATGTAAGTAATGAATCACGGGAAATCTACTCCCAAAGCCAAGAGCACACCGTATACACTGTATGTTAGCTAACTTGACAATAAATTATATTAAAAAAATTTTTTTTAATTTTAAAAACTGCAAAATTAAAGAAACAAAACAAAAAAACCCCAGACTTGAATGTGTTTAAATGCTTACAGGAGGGAGTGGAAGGAGGGGAAAGGGTGGGGAGGAAGAGAGTTGAAGATTTAGGAAAAAGAAAATTTATGAAAAGAAAGAAAGAAAGAAGTGATGAAAGGAGGCAGAGAGAGAGGAAGGAAAAAAGCTCCTAAGGACATGGAGAAGATGGGATCCAGATCAGAGGTGGGAAGATCACCTTAAATATAAGAGTTCAATTGTAACTGGAAAGATGGAAAAAAGGATTGGTATGGATACAGAAAGAGCTAAGTTTGGGATTATTGTTGTTATTAAAGTCAGTGTAATAGTTGAAGCAAAAAATTACTGAGCCAGACATGTCCCAAATGCTTTACACAAACTATTTCCTTTAATCATCACAAAAACTCTAAAATAAAAGTACTATTTTATCAGTGAATGAATGAAAGTTAGACAGAAGGAGACCATCATGGTAACCAGTAAAATAATGTTTCAAGTGTTCTAATAAAATATAATAGGGGGCGTAAAAGAAAGAACAATAAATTCTAAGAGGAAAGTGAAAAAGGAATTGGAAAGACAAGGTGATATCTAACATAAGAATTAAAACCTGAACGGGATCGTCAAGGAGACAAAGAGAAGAAAGTAATGCAGGCAAAGAAAACGGTATGAAGAGTCTGAGCAAAGATACAGAGAATGAAACAAGAGTATACACTAAGGAAACTACATATCATTTGTATGCACTAGTGGGCCTCTTTATCAGTCAATGGGAAGTAGGTGACTAAATTGTATTTTTTGTTTTGTCGGTTAGAAGCTCAACGTAAAATACTGTGCTCATTTGTGACTAATATTGTTAGTCTAGTTTTTCTGGAGCAATTATCTCTAGTCTCTGTTATTGGAGATTTCATTTTTCATCAAGAGCTACTTACAATTCATCTTGGAAAGAAGCAGAGGTAAACAGTATAATAAACACTAGCTTCCTTGGTTCCCTTAAATTTGTTCATCCAGGTTTTCTGTTTCGTTTTCTTCCCCCCAATGTTTCTGCTTTGGTCTTCAATTTGATGTATATCTCTCCTTCTCCATATGCAAATATTATTCTTAAGGCCTCAATGGAACCATGTCCTTTTTCTGTTTCTCCCCTTCTCTTTCATTTTGCTTCCTCTTCTTTCCTCACTAAGGCCCTCTCCATACAACTAATGAGAAGACAAGTATGTACCCAGCATGATTTACTCACTGTCCTTAACTTTCAACCATTTTTCCTACCATATAGTTAGTTGTCCAAAGAAAATAGAGGGAAAAATGTCCAACGTGAATATACACACTATTTACCTTTCAAGATCTTTAGAAGAAAAGCAAACTGCTGTATAAAATACTTAACCAAAATAAACTACCTTATATACATCTCAATATAATACACATGTACATATACACATTTCTAAGCTATTTGGAAATTCTACCTGCCTATACCAAGGATGAGAACATGACTCTATAAAAATTTGCCTTCCCCTACCTTCCCACATGTTTAAGATACAGCTTTTAATTCTTCAACAATGTTTGATATTGGTATCTTGATATTCATTAAATTCAAAGACAAATCGAAATAGAGAATGTGATAACAGCATCACTATAAATTTTGAACTTCTAGAAAAGTTGTAAAAAAAATTACACATAAAAACAAAACAGCTGTTTGTATCAATAGTTGGTTTTAGCAATTCACCCTGTGACATGGCAATATTTTACATGTAATTGTAAACTGTAAATTGTAAATAAGGCCAACATTACCAATAGACTGAGTTCTCCCAGTGTGACACCAAATGAAAGAGGCTGCTTTGGATCAGTGACCTATCAAAAAAGAAAAGATGACATGAAAATAGACTGATGGTAAAAGCGAAGCCATGTTCCACTCTGTACAGTAGGCAACACAGGGCAATTAGTATGCAAGTAAGTCACACAATCCAAATGGATTTGTGGGAAAAAAAGGAGAGAAAAAGGCAGTAACATGGCTAGGATTACCCATATTTTGTAGGCATGATATGAATACGATACTTTCCCAGCGAAACTCTTTTCTTATGAAGTGAACTCTTTTCTCACTAACTAGATTCTTGTCTAAATAGTGAAAAAGAGACAGTCTCTTTAGGTCTACTATTAAAGATGTTCTTCAAAGATAAAGAAAACAAGATGTCATGGATAATAACCGTGCCACTAAACTACTTTCAACACTTAGAAATGTGAACTGTCTCGTTAAGCCTTTAACATTCTTAACTTTTCAAAACTGCTTTGTTAGGAAATGCCCAAGATTCTTAACATACTCTCTTAACCTGTTAAACTTTTGTTCTATTCCTGATCTTCGATACATAAGTTATATTGACACACCATGCTTACACTGTACCACAATGGGTACAATGTCATTGTTTTAGACATCACAGGGATGTCCAAAAGTCATACAGGGTGGTTGGCCATGAAAGAAACTAGGGAAACTAGAGAGAGAAGAAAAAACATACTGTTTTAAGTCATCCAACAGGGACTCCAGAGTGTAGTCACATAGACCGTTCGCAAATGCATGCTCTGGAATAACTGAGCAGCACAAATTGCGCTGGGAGCTTTGTTTTTTATTATCTTCCTTTATTTCCACGCTCATCCTTATACCTCAGACAACCAGCTCAAGATAGCTTGCAGCTATTTCAGAATAAAACATAACTCCTCACTTGCTAAGGCACTACCCACAAACTACGACTATCATCCAGTGAGCATCTTTATGATACATTATTATACTTTCCCTACTCCCCACGTCCTAAACTCTATTTTTCATTATCCTAAATACAATAATTAAGGTAATAACATTGAAAGAGGAATGACACAAGGAAGATCCCTTTGCACTTTTTAGTTCTTTTCCTCTTAGACCTTTTTAATCTATCTTGTCAGTGACACCAACTTAAACATTATTGATGTTACTTATCCCACTCCTGTGCATCTCTGTATATTTTTTTTATCAAAAAGAGAGAAATAATGTGCCTTTCTAATTGTACTTGCACAGTAAAAAACCTTAGTTAAAGCTCAAACTGAGGTTCACATTCATCAATACACCATTAGTTTCAATAATAACTCTCACTTCCATGATGTGTTGAGGTGATTTATATTCCTAAGTTTGTTTAAAAAAGGGCACTGATGACTTAGGTTTTTTAGACATTTGTTAACAAAATTCAGTTTAATGACTACCTAAAACCAAAAGGTAAAGTCAAAATAAGATGGAGATAGTGTATCTTGCAAAACTACAAGTACGTATTACGAAAACTGAAGTTCTATAAGGAATCTGTGAGAAAAAGAAAATAAGTTCTATATACGTCAGTACTGCTTTAATTAAATCCAAACCTTAAGTTATTAAAAACAAAAAAGAATACAAACTCATTTTTAGAAGAGACGGAATAGCATTTCCATCATCTTAGGTAAATGAAAAAATTCAAGGTTATTTTACATAATTTTCAAACTTTAAAACAAAGCAATGTATATTTAGTTTAAGTAAAATTAATCAGTAAACAGTCTTCAATCAACTAATGTTAAACTTTGTTTATAAGTGAAGTATGGTTTCTCAATATACTGTTGCACATGTATGTGAGTAGTTGTGCATATTTAATCCCTTCTGAAGGAATGTAAAGAGCATGGGACTAGCAGTCTATTGGTGTATGATTTAGTCCACTCTCTACTAACTACCATTATAGTTGATTATTTCCACCACCATTTGGACCTAATTTTTTTTATCAATATAGTTCCTTAAAGTTATAATAAGTCTTAAGGCATTAAAGAAAATTTAAAATAAATAACAGAGGACAAGTGAAAAATCTCTCATATGACTTTTAGAAAGGGGCATACAGTGGTTTTATATTTATACACATAAGTGCTTAATGAAAGAAGTGTAACACAGGAAAGATATGGTAGTATATTCATCAGAAAAAAAAATCATGGATTTAGAATCTGGTACAGATAACCCATATCTAAACAAATCAATAATTAGTATCATAAAATACACAATTATTAGCTTCACCTCAATAAGTTTAAATTACTTACATCATCTTCATATTTAATGTGAATGTCTGTGATTTTTACTTGTACGTTTTTAATTACTTGGGTTGCCAATTTTTCCAAAAATGTATCCTTTTTGGCTTCTTTTGGCTTATCTATAAAAAACAGAAAAATACAAGGTCAAGAGTTGAAATTCTCACATACTTCACTATCAAATGACCAAAGCACAGCAAAGGCACTACTCAACAGAAAGGACAGCCTATTCTGGTGTCCTTGTTTTATTTTAGATTTATTTTAGACTTTAATATGTGTTTCCAAGTTAAAACTTATTTTTGAAGTTATGGAGTATCTAACATTCATTTTACCTTTGAAGACAGAAATCAAGTGGCGATGTGTACAAATAACACATGGCATAAAAACTACTTTTACCTACCTTTCGAGCGATCAAGACTTTTAAAAGGTTTCTTAAAATGTTTTTTGTGCTTTTTACGTTTACGTCCTTCTCAGTGGAAGCATTTTAGTGAGAAAAGGATAAAATTCAAGTTAGGAGACTAGAGGACAGAAAGAAAAACAAGAGAATTCTTCCTAACAGCAAATTCTGGTACAGTTCGCTTTACTTCTACTCTAAACTGACCTGCTATTTCAATACAAACAGAAATTCATAAACCTCCTTAGTCTAGAATAACCTCCTTTAATCTTACAAATAACTTGGCAAGTACAATTATACAAAAATTAGCAAATATCCATACACAAAGTGCTTTCAATATTTTTGACTCTTCAATTGAAGTTTAACTTTAATTTCAAGATTATCAAAATACTGGAAATGTAATAATGACCAAATATAAAACTTTCAGGGAAAGGTTTTCACAAATATATGGTAGGGACACAGGAACACAAATGAAATGAATGGTTAGGTTGGTGACAGGTAACTTCCTCTGGATGACACACCTCACAAGCAAAACCCTTGAAGGAGTTAAGGATACAAAGAACCCCCAAAGAGAAGAATGTACATTGAACTGTACTTTGAAATTGGCTTAGTAATTAATTCCTTTAAAACCTCATCCTCTTTAATTGGCACTGCTTCACTTTTATGGCATTAAGCAACACCCATCTGATCCAAGTTACACATCTTGACACTCAACTTCCTACTAGACATCATCTCTAGGCTGCACTCTTAAAGTGGTCTCCGTATGGTCTCGCTTGCCTCTAGTCTCCACACTACCTCCAAAATAAACATCCTCGTATGGTGCCACTAGACTAATACCTTCTACAATGCCATTCACAGCCTGCTAATCCCCTACTCAAAATTCTTTTTTAAGGCTCTCTGCAGCCCGGCAGACAAAATGAAAAAGTGTTTGCATGACACAAAGGTCCTTTCAAGATCTGACCCCTAGCTCCTTGTGCCGTTCTATCTCCTCTACTCATGCTTGCGCTGGATACTTCAGAAACACTATTCTTACCTAACAAAACAAGCCTAACTTTCTAACGGCTAATGCTTCTCTCTTATATGAATCATTCCCAGAACTTCAATTGCCCTCCCTGAAGTTCTTCACCAGGCAAACTCCTGGGAGGCTCCCAAATCCCAGATCCCCTAAGGCCTTCTTCAACTATTCCAAGCAGCTCCAGGGCCATCTACCTCTGCATCTTTACATAGACTTCCACTAAGCAGTGATTATACTGTAATTGAAATGTTTACACAACTGTCTTGCCACTAGGCAGGAATCTTCATTAGGACAGGAATTATCCTAATATGTAGGCACACGGCACATGACAGGCATCTGTTCAAATGAGTCAAAAAATCCACATCTGAACATTGTAATAAAATATATAAACCCAGCTCAGGTTATATATATAGCATTTGAGAAAATACACATGAAATTTAGCTTGAAATCTTAAAACTGTTCTTCCTTGGGGTGCCTGGGTGGCTCAGTGAATTAAGTGTCTTGACTTTGGCTCCGGTCATGATCTCACAGTTAGTGAGTTTAAGCCCCACATCAGGCTCTGTGCTGACAGACAGCTCAGAGCCTGGAGCCCACTACGGATTGTGTATGTCTCCCTCTCTCTCTCTGCTCCTCCCCTACTCACACACTCTCTCTGTCTCTCTCTCTCTCTCTCTCAAAAATAAATAAACATTAAAAAAATTAATAACTAAATAAAATTGTTCTTGATATTTTAAAGCAAATTCTCCTGCCACTATAAAAACGAAGAACCAGGGGCGCCTGGGTGGCTCAGCTGGTTGGGCGTCCGACTTCGGCTCAGGTCATGATCTTACAGTTCTTGAGTTCGAGCCCCATGTCATGCTCTGTGCGGACAGCTCAGAGCCTGGAGCCTGCCTCGGATTCTGTGTCTCCCTCTCTCTCTCTGCCCCTACACAGCTTGCACTCTGTCTGTCCCTCTCTCCAAAATAAACAAACATTAAAAAAAATTAAAAAAACAAAAAAACCCCAAAGAACCAAATCCTGGATTCCAAGAATAAAACCCTAAGTTTCAAGACGAAAATATTTAATAAATACATAAACAACCTGGATCTTGTTATTACCAGTATTTCTTGCCATAATGATGGTCCCTAAGTCTTTTTCATTCATAAATTAAACATCTAGAAACAGACTGAGTTCTCAAAGAAGTATTACTTAAAAAGAAACAAGAGGGGTGCCTGGGTGGCGCAGTCGGTTAAGCGTCCGACCTCAGCCAGGTCACGATCTCACGGTCTGTTAGTTCGAGCCCCGCGTCAGGCTCTGGGCTGATGGCTCAGAGCCTGGAGCCTGTTTCCGATTCTGTGTCTCCCTCTCTCTCTGCCCCTCCCCCGTTCATGCTCTGTCTCTCTCTGTCTCAAAAATAAATAAACGTTGAAAAAAAAAATTAAAAAAAAAAAAAAAGAAACAAGAAAGACAAAGTAGCCCTGAAAACTACCCCCACTTGACTAGAACAGCTTTCAGAGACAATTTCAGCTTCTGGGTTTAGATACTACTGTAACTCACTCTTCTTACCTTACCTTATTATCTTTCTGGCTTCACAACTGTTTTAGCCTCTTGTTTCATCCTTATTTGATCCCAGTGTTAGAAAGTTTCTATTTAATCTGATGAATACTAAATTTATGATTCTCAATCACTCTCTAAATTGGTCCTCAAATATTTTGGTCTTGGGGCACCTTTTACACACTTACTTGAGAACCTTTCAAAGCTTTTTATTAGTGTGGGTTACAACTACTGATATTTGCCAGAGTGGAAATCAAAACTGAGCAATTTTTTAAAAATGTATTAATTCACTTTTTAAAAACTACTATGCGATAGCATTGATAACACATGTTTATGAAAAATAACCATATTTTCCGAACAAAAAATTGTAGTGAAAAGAGTAGCACTGTTTTACAATCTTACAAAAATCTCTTAATGTCTGGCTTGGCAGAAGACAGCTAGATTCACATACCTCCTTCTGCCTTTGATCCGCTGAAATATGTTGTTTAAATTGAAGCATATGAAGAAAATCTGAACTAACCACATACACGTGCAACAAAAACAAACAAAAAAGGGTGGAACATCTTCATGGTCTTTTCATGTAAATACGGATACTATACCCAAACTCAACAAGTGGTAGTTTCTTAAAGGTTAATTCCATTTTGGAATCTGAAACTCTATCAATAAATTTTTCATCCAAATTAAATTAAATTGGTTACCTTGCACTTTAAATGGATCTTTTACACATACCTCATTTTTTTTATCACTCATTGGAAATAAGGAAATATTGCTTCATTGAATTATGCAGATCTTCTCAATGTTGAGTGATTTCATTATTTACTATCAAAAATCCCATTTGTTAGTACCCCTGCCAATCTCATCAAAAAGTCTTAAGTACTGGGAAGCTGCCAAACTCCAGGTGGCAAATACAAGTTTTCCAAAATTCTAATTTTTGCTCAAAAGCTAAAATCTTATTATTAGCAACAAATATCATGAGTTGATTTTTGTTGAAGTGTCTACCAAACACCCAAATCTGAATAACAACAGTCTGTCAATCACTCTTCCATGTAAAATGATTTTCCAGGAAAAAAGCAACTAGTTCAGCTGACAATTTTAACAATGCGCAAGTATTTTTCCTTAAGACAATTATTCTACATAAGTGCTTCATACATACTTCTCCCTTTGTCACACAAAAAATTAAAGACACATAGTCAAGAGCTTAAGTTGATTCAAATTAAATTTTTTCTATTCCATCAATAACATTTGTAAGTAATACTGGGGCTCTCTTTTGTTTCATCTTATTTTTTTTTTACTGTGAGTACATGGTAGTGAACAATACAATGGCAACCAGTATTTGGTGCCACTGCCTTGATTCATGCTGAGGCAGCCGCAATTTTACACAACACTGCTTCTTCATCATCAGCACCAGTGTTGGCACAGTAAAAAATCAAATACTGTTTTAGTATTATTATGAAAACAGTTTTGATGGTTTGGGAACTACTGCTCTGGAATAACTTTTTAAATGACATCAAATGGGGAAGGAATATACACTCAGAAAGTAGAAAGATGAAATGATCATGAAGTATACATTAAGTCCTAGCCAAATGAATGAAGATATCATCACCAAATTAACTATTCTCATTGCAGAATCATCAATAGTCTAGGACTAGTTTTTTATCCAGGTTAATGTAGTGTTTTTGAAAAGTAAACTCTGAATCAACTACATTTTCCTTTATAGTGATTGATCACTGTCTGGTTTTTTTGGGGGAGGTGGTGTTTTGTTTGTTTGTTTGATCACCAATATTGTCCAATGATTTTGTTATGACTTGAACAGGCCACTGGAATTCATTTGTACCTTGGAGGCAGATAACTCCTAGTAGGATCAGAAAACACTGCTCTGAGAGACTGTAGAAAGTTGGTCTAATCATAACAAAATTAAAAAGTGAGCCATGAGTACTTCCTGACTATCTTTTATATTAAACAAAGTAACTGCAAGGCAAATTAGCATAGTCAGTCACATTTGCTAAAGGGGCAAATTTTATCAAAAGAGAAACGCCTTTCAAGACCATTTCACTCAATGCTGTGAAATCTGCAATGCAAATTCTTCTTCCATTTGCCAAATGAACCCAAATATTAAAGAAGTTTCTAGCTGTAGAAGTAATTCTAACCTAATGCTTATTGTTTATGTTTTGAGTACACACCTCACTTGCCATTCAATTGATACAAATTTTAAGTGTGACTAATATAATAAACTCCTATAAAATTATAGAAAATATAATTAAACATGTCAAATTAATTTGTAAATTATCAGAATTATTATTTTAACATACTTGATCAATTCCCTACCAAATAAAAGAATCCTATTGTAAATGCTAAAGCTGTCAGCCTTCAAATCTGCCTTTTGTAGAGTCTCAAATTTCAGTATGCTGTGTAAGACAATGGTCTACATTTGTCTCTGGAGCTCCTACGGAGGTAAAGCAAATCACGGAGGATATGAAGGACGCCAGATGGACACCTCTTATCAAGGCTCTAAATAAAGTCTCACACAGTAAAATAGGTTCCATTTTCTTGCTTTTTACAAACCTGAAAACTACTACTATAGGAGAGAACTTGCCCAGCTGAGAAACTACTATATGACAGAGTCCACAAGGCAATCCAGATGTGAAAGTTGTCTACAGACCAAACTGTAAGCTCCACAAGGACAGTTCATGTTTGTTTTACCCCATGAACATTCAGGCATCCAGCACGGTGCCTGCCATGTGAATACACTAAATATTTAGTGAATGAACAAATGGCTACAGAAGGTTGGGAAATGGAAATGATGGTAAAGGAGAAAAACCTGAATTACATTTCCATATTTTCTTAAAAAAAAAAAAAAGGCATGTCATCAAATGGGTTCCATTAAATGTTCAAGAGTAGATAAGAATATAATTTTTTATATAACTAAATAAAATTAACCATGCATACCCACCAGGCTTGATGTCCTTGTAAACAAAGTTTTCCAAGCCATATATGAACTCCCCTGAATGTGCCCCTGCATCCGCATGGCAGCAATAACCAGAATGCAAAGCATTTAAAAGACACTTTAATTTCACATGTAAAATATGTCTAAACTTAATTCAAAGAATTAGAAATCATGTGACAGAAGAAGTGAAATGCAGTGACACCAAAACAATCTATTTCTAAGGAAGTATTCACAGTGACATCATTTCCATTATTTCAACATACAAACTTTATTATCATAATATTGTAACAAAATTTCTTAGTAATTAGAATTATAAGAATTAATCATTTCAAATTAAGCAAAGCAGACAAATTAGCACTAATATCTCACTGAATTGTTTGAAATTTTCCAACAGAGCAAAAATCAGATATTTTGGTTCCCTTTTTGCCTACTGTTTTTGCCCATTTGCAGAACGCAATATTGAGAGAGATTTACACTAACTTCAGAGTCAACTAAAATGAACTCATCTTACTTTAATTTACTCTCATCTGTCCCTTTTTATTTTTTTTTTAATTTTTTTTCAACGTTTTTTTTAATTTATTTTGGGACAGAGAGAGACAGAGCATGAACGGGGAGGGGCAGAGAGAGAGGGAGACACAGAATCGGAAACAGGCTCCAGGCTCTGAGCCATCAGCCCAGAGCCTGACGCGGGGCTCGAACTCACGGACCGCAAGATCATGACCTGGCTGAAGTCGGACGCTTAACCGACTGCGCCACCCAGGCGCCCCATCATCTGTCCCTTTTTAGATACAATGACTCCTTTCTATCCATTCTTGTTAGTGATGGCCAGATAGCACCATCCTCCAATTCCCTCCTTACATACAGCATAGACAGGACAGCAAGCTTAACCTTTCTAAAACACAGCTCTTATGACATCCCTCCCTGGATTTTTAAAGAAAAGTAAAAGGGAAACTTACTGACTCTCTTTGTGGTTATAAAGTCTGTTATAACACGAAACTAAAAATAAAGGCTCTAGAGCCAGAGAAGGTTCAAATTACAGCTCTATCATTTTCTAGCTCTGTGACTTAGGATGACTTATTTAACTTGCAGCTTTCTCCACTGGGAGAAATGGGAACAATAGCCTTAAGTCATAGAGTTGTAACTATTAAATGAGTCAATAAATAGAAAGCATTTTGAAAAGTGACCTGGCAAATAGGAGATGCTCATTAAATGTTAGCTGCTACCATTGTCATTACCGTCACCATTATCACCATCACAGCATTCAAATCTCTTAAAATTGACCTAAACTCAGCTTTTCAACTTACATTTAACTACATTCTATCAAACTCCCAAATTCTTAGCTGTTCCCCATACATACTCCATACTTGTCTCTCTTCACTGTCCCCTCCACCTAGAAGACCCTGTCTCCTTTTCTGCAAACTCATCTTTTAGACACAGCTTAAATATGTGTCTAAACAGTGTCTGCCCTGATCTCTTTGGCTGAACATGATATGTTCATTCTGAACTTCCTTAGCACTCTTATCTTTACCTCTCTGATGAGACTCAACACTCTTCTCCTGTTTATTATTATGCGTTATGTCTTATTTTCTCAACTAAAATGTAAGGTTTTTGACAGCACGATTCACGGATTCTCTGACTTTTATGTTTCCATCAGCGTGTTGAGCAGATGGGCATAAGACTTCTCAAAAGTACCTAGAAACTAACGATATTGCCTTCAAAATTCTAGTTTTAGGGGCGCCTGGGTGGTGCAGTCAGTTAAGCGTCCGACTTCAGCCAGGTCACGATCTCGCGGTCCAGGAGTTCGAGCCCCGCGTCAGGCTCTGGGCTGATGGCTCAGAGCCTGGAGCCTGTTTCCGATTCTGTGTCTCCCTCTCTCTCTGCCCCTCCCCCGTTCATGCTCTGTCTCTCTCTGTCCCAAAAATAAATAAAAACGTTGAAAAAAAAATTCAAAATTCTAGTTTTAAACCTAGCATTCTATCCCCAGTCAAATCAAACAAGTATGTAAGTAAACAAAGACTTTCAGACTTGAAAGGATTTTAAAAAATTATATCCAATGTATCCTTTCTTAAAAGCTACAGATATGCTTCAGCATAACTAACAAAGAACAAAAGGCAAGGGACCCAGAAAACACTGAACTAAACACAGAAGAGTAATGAAGACCAATCCCAGGATGACAGCTGTGCAGCAGGACTGAAAAAACAACCATTTCAAAGGGAGATCTTCAAGAGAAAATGGGGATGGGGTGTGGGTGGGGAACCAATAGGTGGGTATGACAATAGTAAAGTAACACTGAGAGTCATATAACATTATTTCATGTGGCAAGTGAAAAGAATTAAAGGTAAATTTACACAGAAAAGAAAGCAAATAAAAAAGAAGCATTTACAAGTTCAAGAAAAACAAAAGGTTGTAAAGAAAGGAAATATAATCACAGTACATCATTTGACCTGCACAGTGAACAATTACACTGTCAGAGTAATGTAAATTTGACCTGTAATTGGCCATAAATTATTATATACCATATTCTGAGACGAGAAAGAGGGCAATTTAGAGTGAAAGATGATGGTAAGAGAAGTAAACTCCGTGACTACCATAAGAGGATATCCTAGGTAAGACCTTATGCTAATAAATTAGATAATGACAGAACATCAGTATTTCTAAAACCACGGTTCCCTCTAAGGAATGGGTCTAAAGGGTAGAGAAGAGCAGAACAGGGGATTGACATTTTCCCTCAGAAGTCTTTTTGGGAAAACTATTTGATTTTAAAGTGTGTGTGTATACTACTTAGATAAAATTAACATTTTAAATACAGAATCTATAGCATTTGGGAATCTTTGGCCTTCATAGGAATTTAATCTTTCCCTTTACTTTATAAAAAGCCTTTCTAGGAAAATAAACTCACTATAATAAAATAAAAGGAGAAAAATATCAAGAAGTTTATTTTGGGTGGCTCAGTTGGCTAAGTGTTTGACCCTTGATTTCGGCTCAGGTCATGATCTCACAGTTCATGGGTTCGAGCCCTGCATCAGGCTCTGTGCTGACAGCGTGGAGCCTGGTTGGGATTCTCTGTCTTCCTCTCTCTCTGCCCCTCCCCCACT